TTTACAGTACATGTACCAGCACAGCACTGGGCAGTCTGCGCTGCGCTCTGCCTGCTGCAGTCGGGTCGAGCACTGCTGCACTGAGTGTGTATGTATGCAGGCCTGGCAGCAGCAGGGCAAGTGCGGTGCACTAGTGCCAGTAGTATGGTGCATGCGGACCATGCACCAAACTAGGCATACAGCTGGAGCTACCGGTAGCTAGCATAGCATTGGCCGGGTTTTTTTGGCGACGACTGTACATGGTACCTACTAAAGCAGTATTCGTTTACTTTCCATGCCGTGGTGCATTGCCCAGAACTACTCATGCCTCATCCTCCCCCCCCCCCCCCCCCACGCACACACGGACAGTATGTATAGGCATATAACGAACGGTCTTTTCCTGTTAGCTCTGTTTGTCCAATACATGAGATAAAACGTCTTTCTTGTTGTTTTTCCTTCTACATGTAGCTGCTTGCAGCATGGTAAACGACAGTACCATGGCCTTTTCAGATTTTCATTGTACCTATTTGTAGTACCTCCCGGGATCAGTATTTCCACTTGAAATAATATCCACTCCAATGCCTCATTCTTAGCATTCTTTTATTCGCTTCCATGTAATTGGGCTTATTGCCCGTTTGGTATTGCGAATTCAAATAAAAAACAACAACATCCCTCTGTCCCCGGGGGAAATCGCGATTCCACCCGTGGATAGTATTGTTTCCGCGGTTTTGCCTGATGATTTCTCAGAAAGTATTTCTGAAAGTTTCAGGCAATTTAACAGCTAAAGTAAGGCCATGGTAAAAATTATCTTTGATTCTCAAGTACGCGCGCACCGATTTTTGGCGGCGCACCGACGATTTTTTTTATTTCTATGCATGCATATGCGTGCATGAAAACGGTCAATGCGAAAGGCATGAATCCGGGAGTAGTAAAATACCAGTATTTTTCTACTCCCTGGCCTGAATAATAAAAATAATTATAAATGAATTATGAACCTGTGACGTACACATGTGTGACCCTATCTTTGGAAATAAAAAAAATTGTGGGAATTAAAATAAAAAATCGCTCGCTCGCACCGATTTTCACAGGCTCATGACCTGAGAATCAACTTTATTTTTTACCATGGCCTAAACATGAAACTTTACTCCGGGACTGTAGTGTGTCATATCCAGAACTGATAATACTGTAACAAATGTTTGGTGCATATTTATTGAACTCGGATAGGTCTCAGGTCGTTGAATGTCTCAGTAGCCTGTCAAGTTTGTGCCCTGTTATCGCACGTTCTGACTGCTTATTCTCCTCCTGTTACAGTCGTGGATAGTTGCCTTATAACTCGTTTCCTTTTGTTTTCTTCTTCTATTTTACGCATATATATATTTTTTGGCTATTTTCGGCCGAGGCACACTTGGCCGAATATTTGTTCCGGCCGACATTTTGTTTTACAATGTTCAGTGTGCCAGTGTATACAGGCAGCAGCAGTACAGGCCGAAATGTTAATGACGCCGAAATGTGTTTTTGCCCTGGGAGACCGAGATTTGTACTTCAAGTAGACTTACGGTAAGCAGTAAATTTCCTTTTCACCTTCTCAACCCTAGCCCTCTTTTCTTTAGAAGAGAAAGACAGCTTTATGCAGGCAAACCTGGCACATCGGTTGGTGGGTCATCTGCTGACAGGTTTCTTTTGAAAAATTAATAGTCGCAGAATATCCACTACCCTCACTAGTTAGGGAAAGACACAAACGGGAAAAGTCTAGAAGAAAAAATTGACTGTCACCACCAGGACCCGAACCAGGGACCCTCGCTTGTAGCTAGCGATGCTCTAACTAACCACTGAGCTATGGTGTAGTCGTCATCCCGCCACCTTACTACCTTGCCGCTAATTATTCCAACAGTTGCTGCTGCTGCTGTTTACCATTATTGTTACCGTACTTCTGCTGTTGTTGTCGTTGTTGTTGCTGTTGTTGTTGTTTCTCTTTTGGTGTTGCTATGCAGGATAAATGAGGGCAACCACCGTGGTTATTGTGTTGCAGGGTGCTATGTTTTGATGTTGTGGAGCCTGGAGGGCAGCAGCCATCAAAGAAATCCATTTTAAAATGAAATTTGAAATGTTGTTGCTGCTGTTGTTTCTCTTTTGCTGTTGTTTCTCTTTTGCTGTTGCTGTGCAGGTAGGCAATTAATTTAGAGCCGCTCCTTTGCATGAAACTTTCTTCCCTGGCTTAGCGGCCGTGGATGCATTCCTTCGTCCTGCACAACATCTACACAGCAACAACAGTAAGTTGTCAGTGCTGCTGTTATTTTAGTTTGTTGTTGTTGGTGTTGTGCAGGATGAAGGAGCACAGCCATCGCCAGGCCAAGGAAGAAAATTCATGCAAAGAAAGTTCTAAAATAATCGCCAGCAAAGCAACAGCAAACAGGCTTGAAACAGCACTTCCATTTTAGAATTTTCTTCCCGGACTTGGCGATGGCTGCCACCTGCACAACCTCAAACACAAAGGCAGGGAAGAAAATTTTAAAGGTTGCTGTTGCAGAATGTTGCAGAATGTTGCAGAAGGAGGGCAGTCAGCACCCAGCCATCCCAAACCCCGACCACCATCCCCTCCTGGAATGATTACTTTTATAGCCTATCCAAGCTCTGAACTTCACACCTGAATTGTTGGTCAACCGCCCTCAGCCAATCAGAGCAGAGAAGGGACAGCATGTGCAAGCTAACTCTGATTTCTCTGATAGCACCAGTCCTAGCCTAGGTGCACACACAGGGATCGACCGACTTGTCTCAACACCCAATCACGCTTCACTGCAGACAGCAGGATGGAGGGAAGTACACTGCGATCATAACAACACAGCAAGGGCATCAACAGCGTAGGAAAAACAGCAATAAAGCATATAACAGCTTACAGCTAGGACACCAGCAATACAACAGCAGCCAGTGCAACAGTGTATTTGCACCAGAACAGAATAGCCATCAACAAAAACCTAGCTAGGTATTACTAGGTGAGTATGTACACAATACTTAAAAAATACTTTAAAAAACAAGTGACATGTAATGTATATTATAGACTTCAAGGCCAGCAAGAGAGATGTCAGTGCAAGACACGGGCAGAGCAATGACACGGTGTGGGTGACTAGGCAGCAGGGGAGCGCCTGAAAATCCGACTCCCTAAATTTCCAGCCACGACCGCTCAACCGGGCTAGGGGAAAAACTCGCCTTGCGGCCAAAAAAACCCTTCTACTAATATGGGACCTGCCCCACTGCCAGTCACACCCAAAAACCGAAGAGAAGTAGAAAAAAAGTAATCATATAAAAAACACCAGACCTTCGGGACAGAACCACAAACACAGCATGCGACCAATGGAAAGCCAGAAAACAGCAGACGAAACAAGCCAAAAACGTACTCTTTTTCTTTGTCCCTCTCAGGGATTTGGTTCCAGCGCCATCTTCTGGAATGCCAGCAGCGTGTGATACAAGGAGTCGGATGGTTTCGTCTGTCTATATGTCATCTCCTCGGCACTCTCGTCATCTACCACTCCACCTGGCATGGCTGCTGATACCGACTGGGCTGTCGTCACACCTGAAGATGACTTGGAGACAGCCTGCAGCAGTGAAGGCAAAATAAAATGACGAGTCTTGCAATTTGTTCCGAATAGAGCATTCTATCTGTCAAACCGTCAAATCCTATATAATTATGGGATTTTTAGAATTTTTTTCCAATAGTCATGATCATGCTTCCGAGATAGTTGTGTGCCTAAATAATTATTAATAGTACTAATTGTAAGATGTTAGGAAAATTGAGGCCACATGCCACGTACTGACTGCTCTTTTTCTCTCCGAAACTCAACACTTGCAAGCCAGATATGAAAGAAAGAAAAAATCATCAGCCACACCACCGGGACTCGAACCAGGGACCTTGCTATTCGCGAGCAATGCTCTAACCAACTGAGCTACAGTATGACTCTTATCCACAGTGATGACAATTTCCT